TTAGTCCACGAAGGGAGGGTCAGATCCAGCTCTCTAAGCATTGATTGCAAGCTCACAGTTTCTCCCAAAGGCAAATAAAAAAAGTGTACTTGAACCCTTAGAGCAGATAGGCTGAAGCTGATTTATTGGGGTGATTTAGATCTGTTGAAACAAATTTAATTTTGAATACAATTTTATATCAATTAACAGAGTCTCACAAGTGTAGCCATTAAGGAATCTCTTTCCAAAACCAAAGCCAAATATTCAAGATTTATGAGACTGACTTGCCATATTGGAAGTAACTAATTATTCGTAATGATTCTTTGTACTCTGACAGTGATTATGTATTTTCAGTGCAAATGACCATGATGAAGCAAGTGATAAAGGCAGCCCATGTTTGTGAAAGGGATACCAAGCAGTTAAAGCCTGATTGTTTTGGCAAAGTATTGGTGTAGCAGGGAAAGAAACAACAGAAAACAACAAAGCCCATAGACACAAACCCCAGCTTATTTAACATCCTGAAGTGTCTCCTGGTGCATGTCAGAGCTGTAATGAAAGTCTGTGGTCTCCTTTTATTGCCTTAAGCAATTTTGTATTCAGTTTATTTATTGTGACCTTTTGGTTGTCCTTCCACCTTGGACATGACAGTCTTTAACAAAGCAAAGCCTCGCAGACTCAGCTTGCAGCATTTGCAACAGATCGTGGAGCGTGTTTGGGGTGAGAAGAACAGCACAGATTTGGGGCATGATTTTCATTTGCATTGAATTTTCTTCACCTCAGTCTGATGGCACTGGGCAGAAAAAGTACAGCAACAACCCTGCTCCCAGCTCCACTGGAAGAAGGAAATGTCTCTGGATTATCCTGCCCTGATTAAAGTACCTGTGAATCGAAAATGATAGTTACACAGGGATTGGGTAGATTTTCACATTGCCTCAGGCTACAGAGGATACAAAAGCACCGCCTTTCTCCTTTTTCATAACTTCCAGTACTGCCCCAGACACAGGAACAGAGTAATTGAGAACAAAGTCCCTGTTCCAGTGAGGTGCTCAGTGCCAGCAAGGTTAATGTCCAGGGGCAGGCTCGTGGCAAGAGCAATGCCATGTTTGCTGCTGTGCCTGCTGCTGCTCTGATGCCACACTCACTCCAGCCACGAACCAGGGGCTAATTTCTGATCCTCAAAAGGAAAGGCACAGCAAGTTTGTCATTAAAATCCGCAGCCGCGTGCATGTGATTAAAATGTTAATGTCAATATTGTAATCAAGGTCTGACTCACAGGACAGCTGGTAAGAGACTTGATCTGTATTGCTTAGCCCCAGTCACCTGATGCAGACCAGGGTTACAGAACGGTTGTGCCCATCACATGGCAGGGATTGGCATTCACTGTCTCATGTGGCGAGCTGGAGGCTGGGAAGGGACAATCAGCTCAAACCCAGGGCCAATATTGCTAAGTTCAGCTGTGCCTGCACTCCAGCCAGAGGAAAGCTTTTCAAGAAATTTCCTTGGCATCACCTGAGCGCAGCTCTGTTCGTGTCTCCTGCCTACCTGCAGTGCTGCTCCTGGGTTGTCCTTCCCCTGGCCTCACTCACCCCTCTCTCTTGCTTTTGGAATTTTCTGTGCTAGATTCTATCCAGTTGAGTTTTAGACATTTAAGCCTGTGGTAAATTTTGCCTGATGTTGTCTAAGCACCAAAAGAGCTATAGTCTGCAAAGCTTCTTTTCAGTAAATTCAGGATTAATGAAGAAGGCCTCTCTATTGTTGGAATGTCTAATACAATTATCCACTGAATGAATGGACTAGGCAGCAGTGGAGGGCTCCCAGGTTTGTGGCAGGGAATTGTCTGTTTTAACATCCATCTGTTTTCATTCCCTCTGATCCATTATCATTCACCTAGAGTTATAACATGATGAATATCATTGCAGGGAATGCCATTTGATGCTGGGGGGAAACAAACCACTCTAGGTCTGCCTTCTGTTGAAAACACAAAATTGCCTTGGTGGAAGGAAAGGCATGATTGATTCAGAGACGCTGTTTCAAGCAGAGGCATCCTTTCCCACGTGGATTGTTTGATTTTGTTAATTCCTTTGGATGACCCTTCTGCTGCATCTTTCAACATGAAAAAAAAAATAAATATATAGATATATATAAATAAGAATAACTATGGACAATCCTAGTGCTGTTGAATTTGTGGAGTTAATTGAAAAAAATAATGGTATTCACTACTTTCCCCAGAAGGCACCTTTGGTTTACGTTCCCAGTGACATTAAACTCCTGTACGTAAACATGGGATGAGAATCTTGATGACCCTGCTGACAGGAAATAAAGAAAGGAACTTTACAGGCAATTTCCACTGTCCTTGTTGGTCAGCAAATTTGGAAGTGAATGAAAAAAAGAGAACTAGAAATGCATATTAATGATGGAGGGCCTATAGCACAACAGGAGTGAGATGAGCCCTAGTAAGAGGAACTGTTAAAAATGCCCCAATTTATCTTTTTAATGACTTACCCTTATAAGCAACATAGGGATTACCTTGTAAATAAAAGGACAGGCTCACCAGTGTAAAAATAACTTAGTGAACTCAGTGCAAATGCTTGTTTCTAGAAAGTATCCCTTAAAATACTGGCAAAGCTAATGCAGTTGTTAAACCCAATCCATTGTTAAACTAGGTGTATCTAAACTGAGACCTTTAATTACCATCCCATCCCGTCTCCGGGATCTTGGTTGTGCCTTTCAAATACCACACATTTTAAAAAATACTGTGCAGTCACTTAATGAAACAGAAGAAGAAATACCCTTTGGAAATCCACAGTCCAAAACCCAGGGCAGATAACTGTCTGGCTCCCCACTAGCCTGTAATTACCCGAGGAAGCAGCTAGATTTAGCTATCTTCCTTCTTTAATTGGCACGCAAAAGATTATAGGATTTTATTAGGACACAAATGACACCGATATGAGTGTGATTGAGGCATGCAATGCATGACTGACTATTTGCATTAAGAGGCTTTGTACTACACATGGGATTTCTACCTTTGGTTTTAAATGGCTTAAATTTAAATGACGTTTCTATGCTACATTTTAAGAGGATGATATTCATTTTAGCACTTGTCTAAGTAAGGTAGGGCAACACTGTTGCCAGACACCAGAAACCCTTCTCAAAGAGCCTGTTTGGGCCAGGTTAATTTTTGACTGCTCCGTTGTTACAATTAGATCAAGAACATAACAAAATGGTGGGAAAATGGGCATTGAATTGCCCACACTGAAACCCTTGATGAGTGTGTTAGACACTCAGTTGCCAGCCTGCCACTTCTGGGCACACCAGCCTGAGGAAATCACCATCCCTGGCGATGGCTGAGCTGGAACACAGTGGGACCAGATAGCAGGAGATTTTTTTTGCTTCCCTTCCTTCTACAGCTCCCTCTGAGTCTGAATCTCCTTCACCCTTTTTTCCCCCTTATCCATGAATCTCAATGGATTTCTTTAGGCTTTATTTCACAGCATCTTTCTAATGTCTCTCACATGCAGAACTAACAGCTACCCCCCAGGGAAGGTGAAAGCAGCTGAAGAAGTAAGGAACTAAGGCGAGTCAGTCCAAGGGAGCAAAGCCAGCCCCACACAAGGAAGAGAGTACCCAGAAGTGATGGTAGCATGCTGCAATATCTGACTTTGTGCAATAAAAGATGATAACAGGAGGATTAAGTCCTGCTACCATCGTGATATGTAGGACAGCCCTGTGCAGGAGTCTGCACATTTTAAACGAGCAGGATCCAAGCACACCTTCCTCAGTGCTGTCCTTGGCACTGGGCACTGCACAGCTGCGCAGTCGGCCACCAAGGCAGTCCCTGTCCCAAGGGAATGCCTGAGCACCAAGCCTTTGGCCAGGCGATCCTGGAGAGAGGAGAGGGCCTGAAACTGCAGGGAGTGAAGAAAGGAAACAGCCCCCTTCTGCACTGCAAGAATAAAACCTCAACTGGGTGAATGGATGGGGAGCAGGGGCTAATGAACAAGGTCTCCTGCTTCCATCTCCATGAGTCTCAACCCTCGGTTCCATACACCGCTCCCTGTCCCACCTACAGCTCTGATGTCCAGCTCTGTGTCCTGCACCCTCATCACCAGCTCACTTCCTAACTTCTCCCTTGACACAGGATTATTCCCTAGCTCATCCCTCCGCTCTCTCCACATCTCTCAGCTCCTCCTGTGTTCCCCAAGTTGTCCTGAACCCCCAAGCGATCCCTCAGCCTGACCCTCGGCTCAGCGTTTAATCCCCAACTCCTCCCGCAGCTCGTTCCCTGTCCCTGGCTCACCCTGCGACCCCGGGCTCACTCCTCGCCCCTGGGCTCATCGTTTGACCCCCCGCCCATGCCGCGGCTCAGCCCCGGTCCCACCGCTAGCCGCAGCCCGTCCCCCGTGCCCGGCTCCCCTCAGCTCGCCCCTCATCCCCTGTCCCGGCCCGCGCCGCTGCCCCTCCGTGTCCCGGGCCAGGGCGGCCGCGGGGCCGCGGGCGGGAGCCGGGCGGGGGGAAACTTTTCCCGGGGTCTGGGGCGGGCGCGGCGCCCCCGGCCCGCGCGGAGGGGAGGCGAGGCGGCGGCGGGGCGGGAAGGAGGAGGAGGAAGGGGGGGGGCCGGGGGCACGGCCGGGCCTGCGCCGGGGAATGACGCGCAGCTGGCAGCCCTGCTCATGCGCGGCCGGCCGGGCGGTGCTAGCGCCGCGTCCCAGCTCGGGGAGAATGGGGCGGCATCCGGGCAGCGCCGACTGAGCGGCTTCTGGGGGCCGGGGCTGCGCCGCGCCGCGGGCGGCCGGGCTGGCGGCCCCCCCGGCGGTGCGCGGCGGCCGGAGCGGGGCCCCGGAGCGGCGCTGCCCCCGGGGAGGGGGCGCCGCGCCTGGATTATCCCGAGCTGGGTCGAGCCTCCTGGATCTGCCTCTCTCCTCCGCGCCGAGTGAATCCGAGGTGTCCTCGTCCTGATCCAGATAAATCTTCCCCCCCTTCTCTTTTTTTTTTTTTTTTTTTTTTTTTTTTTTTTCCTCCCCTCCTCTTCCCGTCGTTGCTTTTTTTGGGGGGTGGGGGGAGGCGGGGGGTGGAAATTTGTCAAGGTCATTCCGTGGATTTAATATTTTTTGTGTGTGTGTGCCGCTCGCCCCACCGCCACCGCCACCCAGCCTTGCTCTGTGGATTATCATCGCCCTGGATCCGAGGCTCTGAACAGCAGGATTTTTTTTGTTGTTGTTGTTGATTTTTTTTTTAATTATTACTATTATTTTTTAAGGGCTCCGGGGTTTGGAGAGGGGAAGCGGTGAGTTGGAGGGGGGCGACTTTTCTCTCCCCCCGCGCCCGGCCCCCGCGCCGCCGCCGCCGCGAGTCCAGCTCCCAGGAAGAGGATCTGATCGATGGCTTCGCCATCGCCAGCTTCAACACCCTGGAAGCGCTGGAGGTAAGAGGGCTGGGGGGCTCTGCCCTCCCGCGGGGAGGCGGTTGGGGATGGGGGGGTGGCTGGAAGGGAAAAGGAACGGGGGGGAAGAAAAAAAAAAAAAAAAGGATTTGAGAAAGGAAGCGCGGCGCTTTCAGGCTGCTGAATTTTGCAAATAGCAATTAAGGTGCATTAATCCTGGTGTCAGCCCGGGGGGATCCCGGGGCTGCGGGCGGGAGGGTGCCGGGCCAGCCCCGCTGATCGCGGCTCCGCTGGCAACTCCGCTGCCCCCCTGTCCTTGCTGCTTCCCTCCCCCGGTCCCCTCCTCTGCCCGGCTCCGGCCGCCGTTCGCCATCACTTCGGGCAAGTCCAATGTTTGTTTGGGGTTTTAATTGGCTGCGAAATATTCCTGGCGTGTTGGGATGGTCCGGCATTGTTGTGAATGGTGGAGCTTCCCCCCTCCCGCCCTCCTTCCTCCCACTCCCCCCTCCTCCAGCTCGGGAGTTTGTGTTTGCATTGCCAAAATGTTACTTTATCTGTCTCCGGAGATTGTTAGCAAATGGCTAGTGTTTGACATTTTGTGGAAAAGAGATGTTTAAATGGATAATAATCCCTCGGTTGTAATTCCCATTTTTGAAGTAATTGAACAAATTCTTCATCTCTTGTTGACTGTACATATTTTTCTGGTGTTAATAGGCTGGCAAAAAATATTGCTTGTCTAACTTATTACAAACAATATTTGCTGAGCAAATACTGCCTGCCTTGTCTGAGCTAAGTTAAGCAGAGCAGGAAATTTAATATTTTCAGAGGGGCATGGACAAACTATGACTTTGGCTTTTGATTTTTGTTTTGTTTGTGTACAATTGGAAGAAGTGAGTTGTCGAGAGGAAGCACCTCACAAGTTGCTTGTTGGGTGTAAGAACTGGAATTCCCAGTAAATATGAGCAATTTTGGTGCTTTTGCCCACTTTCTTTGACACATCGTGTTGGAAACGTGGGCAAAGTTTTGGGTGCTCTCCCTACTTTGGATTTCCTGCCACTTGTGTATCTGTTAACCTGTGTTACAGCAGTGAAGAGTTGTGCGTGGGCTGGTGAATTCTCTGATTTGCCCTGGGATCTTTGATGCCGTTGGCTCAGACTCTGAGGTCCCATTTTGTTCATGGGCTCTGCTGCTCCCCAGCCCACCCCTCCTGCCGCTCAGGCCCCTGGTGCCACCGTGGTTGTCTGGAGCTTTTTGCCTGTGGGACCAACTCCTCAGAGTCCCAGAGATGTCCCTGTGTGCCCGTGGAGGTGTCAGTGGTGGCCTTGGCCACCTGCCCTGGTGGCAGGACCCTTGCTGGGGGAGCCAGGGGTTCTGCCCAGCAGGGACATTTAGCCCAGTGCTCCCTGAGCAGCTCTGGGTGTGCAGGTGCTGGACAGGCAAGAAGGGCTGTGCTGGCTTGGAGATGGCTGTTTTTTGGCTTTTTGTGCTGTCATTTGTGGGGTGTTGTCCTGACAGGAAAGCCAGCTACTTTGTGTATGCAGAGCTGATAATGAGCGAGCAATCTGCTCTCAAGTGCCTCTAAACCAAGCCCTAGACCTGTCTCTATAACTTTAATTTTTTTCTTGGGCATGCTCTTAGTCAAATATGCATCAGCAGATAGGTCCAATTAAACCCCTGAGTCTCCACTGAGCTGTCAGGGAAGAAAGTAAAATTCATCTTCCTGCAGAAATTTTCTACCATGATGAGCACATTATCAGGAAATAGAATTCAAATGATAGTGCAGTCCCTCCAGGCTGACGGGGAGAACTCTGGGCTTTTCAGATGGGGAGAGCCTTGTTATTGAATCAGCCAAACCTTGATAATGAGGTACACAAGGGTAAAAAGTGACCTTAAATATCTGCCACCCCAAGGTACTTCTGTTTGTGGAAGCACTTCTGATTTTTCTTTAAAAAGAAAAAAAATCTTTACAAAATGATCTGCTTTAAAATTCTTGCAAAAAACTTCAATGCCACCTGAAATTAACCCATTTCCACTATATTTATGAGCATATACAAGAACAGCTTCCTGAAATTAACTGATATCTACTATGTTTACCAACATGTCAGAAAATACCACCTGAAATTAACCTATTTCTAGTATATTTACCAACATGTACTAGAACACTTCCCTGAAATTAACTGATTTCTACTCTATTTACCAACATGTAAGAGAACACCACCTGAAATTAACTGATTTACAGTGTATTTGCCAACATCTTAGAAAACAACATGTGTGCACCTCTGCAGCCGTGGTGGTTGACACCTCAGAGGGAAAAGTGTGAGCAGAATTCACCTGTTTCACACCAACCAGGTGTGTTGTGTTCTTGGACATAATCTTGGACATAGTGATGGTGTGCATTTCCTAAATCCCTGTGAAACTGAAAAGAAAAAAATACAGTACATTGTGTGGATTTTTCCCTGCAGCACTACCTTGGACCATGGGTGATGTTTGGCAGATGTCATTCAGCAGCAAGGCAAGGGAATGGTTAAGGCAAAAGTACTTTAAAGCAGTATATACCCATGGAAATGAGTAAAATGGCAAGGTTATTTTGTGTGGTATGGAGCTGTGTTCTCTGGTGAACTTGGCTGCAACAGGTGGTTTTCTTCTGCTTTGGAGGAAATCTGTATTTTGGTGTACATTGGTTTATTAAGAGGATTTAAAATCTGCTGTAACGCTTTTTAAAAAAATAAATAAGAATTGAAACCTTCTATGTCCATGAGAGGGAAGAAAGTGTAGAAGTGGGTATATGGCTTAGGGACAGTACTGAACTATTTTATTTAATTTTTTAATGCTAAAAGGACCTCTTGTTGCACATGTTGTAGTTCATTGTGGTATTCTAGGTTGGTTTGTCTCTTGATTTACAATGATCTCTGATTATGTTTAATAGACTAACTAAGCCTTGGGTTTCCCCTTGGAAATGAAATTTCTCAGTGTTTAGGTAGAATTTATTGGTAGAATCATTTGGGAGAGGTAAGGTGGTTTTTGGTTTGTTTTTCTTTGTGTCTCACCATATTGTGAATTCCCCTTCCCCACTGAAGGAAATTCTCACTGCTGGTGTTCCTGTAAATAAAGGGTGCTTTATAGAATAAATATATGTATTCTTCCTTTGTGTTGTCTTGGCAGCATGAGCAATTAAGGTTAATACTGAGGGATGGCTTTGAGGTCTCCTTTATCTCTCTGGTGTGAATTTTAAGCATTTTGGATTTTAAATCATGTGGCAATGTTTCCTTTGGCAGTTGTCATCTGAAAACCATGTGTCTAGTTTTGCTGATACTTGTGACTTATTTATCTCCTATCCTACCATCTTCCAAATAAAGACTGAGTTGATTATAGATATATATTTTGAATAAAGTAAAAAAGAAAGCCCCACAGACACGCAAGCAGCAGGCTTTTTCTGTGTGTAAGAAGTTAAAACTTCTCCTTTCTCTTCCTTCCCCTGGATCTTCCTGTGTAAATCCAGCTCAGGCTTCATGCAGGTTAGGGCTGATGTGTGTGGGTGTAGTGGTGTTTTATTTGGGATTTTTTATTACCCAGCCACTCACCAGCACTTTGGACTTCACCTGGAAATGCAGTTTGCTCTGACCCCTTGGCTTGAGGTGGTCAGTGACTGTCAGCTGCTGGAAAAGCCATCAGGTGCTGGTGCTGCCCAGGAATGGCTGCTGTGCCAGGGTCAGGAAGGAGGGGATTTCTGCCTGCCTTCCAGAATGAATGGTGTGGATGTGAGCATGTGTGTATATTCATTACGTTCAGATGAAGCTGCTAATTATTCTTGAAGGTGATTGGTGAATCAGAGCGAGAGAATCTAAATGAGTGAGTCGGTAGTTGAGGGCTCTCTCTGATCATAGCTGTTCCTTTCAAGTATGAAAAACAGCGCTAAAAGGGAACTTCATCAGAATGTTAATGAATGCGATCTTTGAGAGCAATTGTTCTCCCAAAGTAGTTGAAAAGACAAGGGGTTGTGTTTTCTTTTTGGCTGTTGTTTATCGTTTTTACAGATTCCAGCAAAGCTTTGGAGCCCTGAATGGAAATTCTAACTTTCTTGAGGGGCATGTGTGTGTGTGCGTGTACAGGTATTTTTTGAGGAATGATTAACCTGTTTATAGAATCTTGTGGACAATCCGTGCTCAGACGTGTGTGGAGCGTTGTGTAGAAGCAGATCCCTGAAAAGGGGCAGACCTTGATGGGTGGTGTTGAAGGGGAGATGCTGCCCTTACAAGCCGGGCTGGGGCCCAGCTGTGCCCCAAGGAGGTCAGTGCTTTGCCCACTCACTGCTGGTACCCAGAGCTCTGGCACTGCTGCCTCGCAGCCCCTTCCCTGCTGCTCCTGCCTCAGTGCAGCAGAGTTTAGGGAGCCTATTGCTCCTAGTAGACTGCTGGACAAAATCCATGAGTTCTCCAGCTGTCATCTTGATAAGGCTGTTTTCACATGTGTGCTGAGCACTGTCCTGTTACTGGTGCTCTGATCTCTCATTGATAAGAAAACCAATGTATTTAACTGCAGCTTCCTGTTCCAAAGGTTTTGTGCTAGCCCCACTGACCTAGCGATGTAACTCCTGATTTGTCACCATCTCTCTCTCTGTCTACTTTGCAGCTTAGATTTTTCCATAGCTAGCTTATGTTTTAAAACAAGTTTCTAGATATTTAAGTATTTTTTTCCTTCTACGTAATTGTCAAGTGATGGTGTATCAAGCTAGAGTTTCTGATGGCCAGTTATTCCTCTTTAAAAGTGCTTTTAACCCCAGGAAAGCTAATGATTTTCTGGATGATGCTCTAAAGGCTCTAAATGCCTTTTGGTTTTCCTGAAGGCTTGCTAGTCTCCATTGATTTGTTCTCCTAGCTGTTGATTTTCTTTTTTTTTTTTTGCATCTTGTCTGAAGCAGGTACTTAAGCTATCTTTGTTGTTGTTGAGGAATCAGAGGTGATTAAAGCAGAGGGGGAGAGCTCTGGAAAGCCTGAGGAATCTGCTGAGCTGGGCCAGGAGCTGGGGGGAGCAATGAAATGTTC